GTCAGAAATAAACTCTTCTAAATAATTGTAATTGTTAGTTTTTTGTACATTATCAGTATCTTGCATTGGTTGTGGTTGTGTGCTCACAAGTCATTTATGACTTAAGGGGGCCCTAAGGCAAACCTATCACAGAGGTTTCTTGGCAGGATTTGTTCAGGGGGGCTTGCCTTTGGTTTCCTCTGAGGGTGGGAGAGTGGGACTTGTCCAAGATCACAAGTGGGCTTCCATGGCTAAGCAAGGGATTCAAATCTTGGTCTCTGGAGTTGTAGTCCAATGTTCAAACCACTACACCAGACATATGTATGGTATGTATATCTGGATTAAACTTTTTTTTAACCCTATCAAGTACCGAAATGGGATAATTGAAAGACTTGTCATAACAGTAGAAGGTCTCAGATAGGTCTGTAAAACCTACCATTGTTACAGAAAATCCAGTCTTAACTTTTTTCCAAAGATCCATTTTAAGTTTAAGTGGTGAATTACCATGAGCATATATGTTTATGGTTTTCCAGTATGATTCTGACATGAGTTTTGACAAGGTAAAAGCAGAGAATCCATTAACCTTTTTTAAACAGAGATGGATATCTACAATCCCATACTTCTTTCTGACAGCTTTCTATATTGTTAGATGCCATATTTCTATACTAGCCAAGAGATGAAGCACTCTGATTCAGACCCAGAACATCACTCTACAACTCAGTTATGGATAGCTTCAGCATGTCATTATATTTTTATACCTTAAAGGTACTTTTCTGAATCTTGGTTGCAGTTCACAAAATGAAACTTAAGACCATAACTTAAACAAATATAATGAGGGAAATTAAAATAAAAAACAAACAAACCACAATCAAGCATCCTCATGAATTTTTAATATCAGAACCACATGTGAAATGTGGTTTATTCAGCAAAAGGCAACTACTGAGTCTGAAACTGTACTTATGTGATTGTTCTCTTTTATAAAAAACACCCAGGAATTTGTAGACAATTTGAAAATTGTGCATGAAAGTCAATGAACCATCTGAAGCAGCAGTTCAAATCACTTATAAACTTTTCATTTTATTTCCCCATCCTGTTTAAAGTCTAAGGAAAGGCCTTCTTCAGAGTAACATGAATGGAGGAAGGAAATAATTTGTTCACTGAAAGTTTCCAAACAAATTAACCTTTGGGTTGAGATCAAGTGCAGAAAGGTTTAGCCCCAGAGGACATGTCTTCAGAGCTTAATGAGTGCATGAAAATAGGAGGGAGTATATGTCAGACCAAGAGTTTCAGCAGCTTTTAACTACTTTTTAAAGGGAGATGGAATAATTGCTAGCTTAGTAGCCCTTCCTTGATGGAGTCAAAACAGCCCACAAAGGTAAGGCATCAATCGTGCCCTACATAATTGGGGAGAAATTATTTTCAAGCAAATTACAGGAGATATTTTCAAGACCCACAAATGAAGCTATGATATCTCTGTCTCTCTGTGTATTGTGTCCCTTCAAGTCATTTTCTGAAATGGCAACCCTATCATGGGGTTTTCTTGGCAAGGTTTTGCCATTGCCTTCCCCTGAGGCTGAAAGCATGTTTCATGCCCAAGGTCATCCGGTGAGTTTCCATGCCTGAGCTGGGAATTGAACCCTGGTCTCCAGAGTCATAGTCCAATGCTCTGAGCCTTTGAACAAATCTTGCTAAGAAAACCCTGTGATAGACTTGCCTTAGGGTCACCATAAATCAGAAATGACTTGAAGGCACACAGCAGCAACAGCAAAGGGGATGGACAATTACAGTGAAATCATCCTAATTAAAGGAATTAGCATACATCATGTATTTGGAGACTGTCTTATAAGTCTCTCTCTCTCTCTCTCTCTCTCTCTCATTAAGAAATGTTGATGGAAACCAGTAAGGCTCTTTGGGAAGGCAGAGGACAACCACGAAACCTTAGCACAGACATTTTAATATTGTTCTACAGCAGTTCTTTTCCCCACTGATTGTATAGTTTCCGCATGTGGAAAGAAAACAAGTCACATAGTGTGTTTGTGTCTGTGGTTGAAGTATTGTCCCAGAGTGGGATATGCAGAACATCTGGGAATCTGTGAGGATATTTGGAGAGCATGAAGAAAATTTATGTGTATTACTGTCTTAAAGAATAATCTTTCTGGCTTTTGACTGATGCTGAGGATACACTCTGAAGGTTGTATTATAAACCTGCATGTTGCTGAACCCTCAAATAAGTGAGAGAGAATATTAAAAGTGTGGTGAAGTGACTGTGATCCTTTTGCTTCTTTTTCAGCTTCTGCAGAAATTCAAGTCTACAATGTCTCAATGAGTTGCTGTTCCATTTAATAGCATGAGTTGCATATGAGTAGAGTTGAAAATTGTACTGTTTAAAAGGTTCTGATTCTTGCCAGGATACATGATGTGTATCAAAGAACATTCAGAGAAGCACATCAAAGATGATAAAGAGCTAAGAATGTAGGGCACATGAGGAATGGGAGAAGCACCAAGGATGTGAAACTTAAAAGGAATCTGAGTGAGTGGGAGAGAATGCAATAAACTTTTCAAATGATTAAAATAATAATAATAATAATAATAATAATAATAATAATAATA